AAAAAAATGTAAAAAAAATATACTATAAAAATTATTTTTTAAAAATAAAAAAAAATAAGTATAAAAAATCACATTCGGGTATAAAAAAAGCAGCTTATCCTTAAGAAAAAAAAAGCTCAACTAGATAATAATAATTATGTAAAATAAATAAATTTTTAAAAAAAATGTTTTAATTATTATAAAAAAAAAAATAAATAAAATTATAAAAAAACTATAACATTATTTTTAACAATAAAAAAAAAAAAAAAAAAAATCATATTTATAATTCTTGCAAAAGCTTATCCTTAAGATCCAGATTTAAAAAACTCAAAATAAAAAAAAAAAAAATATGTAATTTTATATAATTTTTTTATTAAAAAAAAAATAAAAAAAATAATATAAAAAATAAACATAAAAAAAAAAAACAAAAAAAAATAAAAATATAAAAAATTTATAATATTATAATAAAAAAAAAAACGTAAAAAAAAAAAAAAAAAAAAAAAAAATAAATAAAAAAATTAAAAAAAAAAGCTAAAATAAAATAAAAATCTTAAAATAAGCTGCTGCAAGAATATAAAAAATGATGAAGTACATTCTTTTTTTTGTAAAAAATAAAAATAAAAAAAATAATTATATTTAAAAAAAATTTTTAAAAAAATTATTAAAAAAAAAAAAAAAAAAAAAAAAAAAAAATTAAAAAAAATAATACTATAATAATTTTTTTATTAAACAAAAAAAAAAAATAGAGTGTACTTTATTTTATAAAAAAATTTTTGCAGCAGCTTATCCCTAAGAAAATTTAGGGAGCTCAAACTATAAAATAATAATAAAAAAAAAAAAAAAATAAAAAAAAAATACATAAATTATTATGTTCTACATTATTATAATATTTTAATAATAAAAAAAAAAAAAGTAAAAATAAAATATAAAAATAAAACATTATTTTTACAAAAAAAAAAAAAAATTGAGTGTACTTCATCCTAAAAAAAATTCTTGCAGCAGCTTATCCTTAAGATCCAGATTTAGGGAGCTCAGACTAGATAATAATAATTTTATTATGTATTTTTATATAATTTTTTTTATGTTTTACATTATAAAATATATAAAATTATTTTTACAATAAAAAAAATAAATTATAGTATTTTTATAAAATTATAATAAAAAAAAAAAAACATAAAGAAAAAAATTATAATTATTTTTCTAATTATTAAAAAATTATAATAATGTAAAAAATAATTTATGTGTATTTTAAAAAAAAAATTTTCTTCTTATTATTATCTAGTCTGAGCTCCCTAAATCTGGATCTTAAGGATAAGCTGCTGCAAGAAGACCCGATTATGATGAAGTACACTCTTTTTTTTTTTTTGTATTGTAAAAAATAATGTTATTATAGTATATTAAAAAATTAAATATTACAATAATGTAAAACATAATAAAAAAATTAAAAAAAAAAAATAATAAATATAAAATAATAAAATTTTAAAACAAAAAAAAAAAATAAAAAATAGAGTGTGCTTCATCCTATTTGGGTATTCTTGCAACAGCTTATCTCTAAGATCCAGAATTAGGGAGCTCAGACTATATAATAATAAAGTATTATGTATTTTATACAACTTTTTTTTCTTATGTTTTACATTATTAAAATATTTTAATAATTAAAAAAAATAATATACTATAATATTATTTTTACAATACAAAAAAGAGTGTACTTCATCGTATTTGAGTATTCTTGCATCAGCTTATCCCTAAGATTATTGTTTCTCTTTAATAGCTTAAAGGGGGCCTTTTAGGAACTATATATATAACAGCTCGATACCAGGCAGGTCCAGGTATAAGGGGTTCTGGTCCAGGGGCGGACTGACCATTTTGGAAACTCGGACACTGCCCAAGGTCAGTAGGGGGCCCCATGAGATGCCCCTGGTACCTTTTTCATAGGCTTTTTTTGGGAGTGGGGTTTGAGTGTGGGTGAGGACACAGGGGCCCCATGATCCCCTATTGTCCGAGGGCCCCATGAGTTGTCAGTCCGCCCCTATTCTGGTCCCATCCCCACAGATAATACAATAGGTGTGTGGCCCATATCAGCCATAGTTCTCACCTGAAGACTGGCTGCCCCTGAGACCCCAGGAGGATGAGATCTGGGATGGGCATCTCAAATATTCGGGTTGTTTTTAATAATAATTAAAAAAAAAAATTTTTTTCCTTCCTGTTTTTTAGGACGATGATGAACCTGGCCGACCATTTATCCGCGGAGATCCAGAGCAGCATCGCCATAGAATATCTCAATGGGTCTGGCCAGGCGCTCAAGAGGAAAGTCATCCGCAACGCTCTGACCTCTCTGGGCCGTAACGAGTTCCGGGAGCTGGTCCTGCAGGTCAGCGATGGGAAACTCCCCCAAAACTTCGTCCTCCGACAGATCCAACTCTTCACCCGCTTCATCCGGGACGGGAAGAGCTCCATCGTCCTCCAACCAGACAACGTCCAGCTGCTGATCTCCAACTGCCCCTCGGACAAGCTGAAGCACTTCATGAAGATGCTGATGATCAAACACGAAGCTGGAAAGAACGAGAAGCCGGTGAACGACCGCATGAGGCTGCTGGCGGGCCTCCCCCGCACATTTGAGACCATCAGCCCTGTGCAGAAAAAAGACGTGGTGCAAGCTAATGAGATGAGGGCCAAAGCCAATTCGGAGACCCCCATAAAGAAGGGGCTGAGCAACAGAGGGGCTAATGGAGCCAATGGAGGTCCACAAAAACGGGCCAGGACAGAGTCTTCTGAGAATAGTTTGGTGAGTGTTCAATGAAAGAGAGAGGAAAGCAGAAAGATGGCGCTGAACCTGTCGGGGTATCTTACTGGTATTGTTATCTTCAAGTGTTATCCGTTCCCCCATGACCCCGCATTCACTATATCCGTTCTCCCCGGACCCTGCATTCACTATATCCGCTCTCCCTGGACCCTGCATTCACTATATCCGGTCTCCCCAGACCCTGCATTCACTATATCCGCTCTCCCCGGACCCCGCATTCACTATATCCGCTCTCCCCGGACCCTGCATTCACTATATCCACTCTCCCCGGACCCTGCATTCACTATATCCGCTCTCCCCGGACCCTGCATTCACTATATCTGGTCTCCCCGGACCCTGCATTCACTATATCCGCTCTCCCCGGACCCTGCATTCACTATATCTGGTCTCCCCGGACCCTGCATTCACTATATCCGCTCTCCCGGACCTTGCATTCACTATATCTGGTCTCCCCGGACCCCGCATTCACTATATCCGCTCTCCCCGGACCCCGCATTCACTATATCCTCTCTCCCCGGACCCCGCATTCACTATATCCTCTCTCCCCGGACCCCGCATTCACTATATCCGCTCTCCCGGACCCCGCATTCACTATATCTGATCTCCCCGGACCCTGCATTCACTATATCTGCTCTCCCCGGACCCTGCATTCACTATATCCGCTCTCCCCCCCCTGCATTCACTATATCCGCTCTCCCCGGACCCTGCATTCACTATATCCGCTCTCCCCGGACCCTGCATTCACTATATCCGCTCTCCCCGGACCCTGCATTCACTATATCCGCTCTCCCCGGACCCTGCATTCACTATATCCGCTCTCCCCGGACCCTGCATTCACTATATCCGCTCTCCCCGGACCCCGCATTCACTATATCCGCTCTCCCCGGACCCCGCATTCACTATATCCGCTTTCCACGGACCCCGCATTCACTATATCCGCTCTCCCCGGACCCTGCATTCACTATATCCGCTCTCCCCGGACCCCGCATTCACTATATCCGCTTTCCACGGACCCCGCATTCACTATATCCGCTCTCCCCGGACCCCCGCATTCACTATATCCGCTCTCCCCGGACCCCCGCATTCACTATATCCGCTCTCCCCGGACCCCGCATTCACTATATCTGCTCTCTCCCCGGACCCCGCATTCACTATATCCGCTCTTCCCCGGACCCCGCATTCACTATATCCGCTCTCCCCGGACCCCGCATTCACTATATCCGCTCTCCCCGGACCCCGCATTCACTATATCCGCTTCCCCGGACCCCGCATTCGCTATATCCGCTCTCCCCGGACCCCGCATTCGCTATATCCGCTCTCCCCCGGACCCCGCATTCACTATATCCGCTCTCCCCGGACCCCGCATTCACTATATCGCTTCTCCCCGGACCCTGCTCGCAGCATTAGGATTACAAATAGTCCATTAAAGAGAGCGAAGTGCCACTTTCAGATGAATGAAAGGGGCGGGGCCAGGGACGGACAGGCTGGGGAGGAAAGGGCTAGATGATGCAGGACCCTCTCCAGGCAGGAAATGAGGCGGAGCTCTCTCTGACTTCCTGCAATTTCTGATGCACATGGTGAGCAGCTCACAGTGTGCAGTAAAATCAGAGGAAGCCATTTCAGTCCAGGGGAGGAGCCGGTACACGTGCGCGAGAGACTGGAGGGGAGGAGCCGGTACACGTGTGCGAGAGACCGGAGGGGAGGAGCCGGTACACGTGTGCGAGAGACCGGAGGGGAGGAGCCGGTACACGTGTGCGAGACCGGAGGGGAGGAGCCGGTACACGTGTGCGAGACCGGAGGGGAGGAGCCGGTACACGTGTGCGAGACCGGAGGGGAGGAGCCGGTACACGTGTGCGAGACCGGAGGGGAGGAGCCGGTACACGTGTGTGCGAGACCGGAGGGGAGGAGCCGGTACACGTGTGCGAGACCGGAGGGGAGGAGCCGGTACACGTGTGTGAGACCGGAGGGGAGGAGCCGGTACACGTGTGTGTGTGTGTGTGTGTGTGTGCGAGACCGGAGGGGAGGAGCTGGTACACCAGTGCGAGACTGGAGAGGAGGAGCTGGTACACCCGTACGAGACTGAAAGGGAGGAGCCGGTACACCCGTGCGAGACTGGAGGGGAGGAGCTGGTACACCTGTGCGAGACTAAAAGGGAGGAGCCGATACACCTGTGCGAGACTGGAGGGGAGGAGCCGGTACACCTGTGTGAGACTGGAGGGGAGGAGCCGGTACACCTGTGTGAGACTGGAGGGGAGGAGCCGGTACACCTGTGCGAGACTGAAAGGGAGGAGCCGGTACACCCGTGCAAGACTAGAGGGGAGGAGCCGGTACACCTGTGCGAGACTGAAAGGGAGGAGCCAGTACACGTGTGCGAGACAGGAGGGGAGGAGCCGGTACACGTGCGGGAGATCGGAGGGGAGGAGCCGGTACACGTGCGGGAGACCGGAGGGGAGGAGCCGGTACACGTGCGGGAGACCGGAGGGGAGGAGCCGGTACACGTGCGGGAGACCGGAGGGGAGGAGCCAGTACACGTGCGGGAGACTGGAGGGGAGGAGCCGGTACACGTGCGGGAGACCGGAGGGGAGGAGCCGGTACACGTGCGGGAGACCGGAGGGGAGGAGCCGGTACACCTGTGCAAGACTGGAGGGGAGGGGCCTGTACACCTGTGCAAGACTGAAGGGGAGGGGCCTGTACACCTGTGCAAGACTGGAGGGGAGGGGCCTGTACACCTGTGCAAGACTGGAGGGGAGGAGCCGGTACACCTGTGCAAGACTGGAGGGGAGGGGCCTGTACACCTGTGCATATCCCTGGCAGTTTACTTGAGATGTATATGGTTTAAAAATGTTTTTATGTTTCCTTTTCAATGGGAAATGTTTATATGTGACTGTAATCCAATGATTTCAGATTTCAGAGCTGCGTCCCAGCAAGAAGCCGGTCCTCAGTATGCCGCGACAGATGAACCTCTCCACCGAACAGTCGATGGTTCTCAGCACCATCCTCAGCGGGAAAAACGTTTTCTTCACTGGCAGTGCAGGTTGGTGAGAAACGCCTGACGTGGACCCGTCCTCCAATATTGTCATGAAAAATGAGAAACTAAAACAGATTTTAATAAATATATATATAAAATATAATTTTTTTTTTTTTTTTATATTTCTCCCTCTGCACTGTACACTTTTTTTAGTGACTGGAATGGCATCCTCGGGGGTAGCAGTTTAACCTTCCACTTTTTTTTTTTTATATATAGAACGTAGTATTCTGTTCCTGTTCTTCATGCTGGTATTTTGTTTCCTTCCAGGCACAGGGAAATCTTATCTGCTAAAAAGGATCATCGGCGCTCTTCCTCCAAAAAGCACTTACGCCACAGCGAGTACAGGAGTAGCGGCCTGTCATATCGGTGGCACCACGTTACATGCGTTTGCAGGTTAGTAAATCTCCCGCTACACACCAGACCCAAAGGACTATGGTGACCGTAAAGTAAATTTTAAAGTGTTTGTACACCCTCCCATATCCCCAGTGAAGTGACCGGCCTAAGGTGATACACAGAGATGAAACAAATCCTCCTACATAAGTTGTACCTTGTTATCTGTAGCAGTTTGTCTCCTACATCCATTACAAAAGTTATGAATTTATAAAGCTTGTCTGAGAGTTCAGAAAAAAGGGGGAAGAGGGCTGAAGTTACACTCTGCAGAGCTCAGTGAGGAGAGCTCTGAGAGCTGATTGGAGGGAAGGACGCCCCCCCCCCCACTCCCTCACACAGGAACAGAGCTGAGGCTGTCAATCTGCTAGAGGTCCCTCCCTCCCCTGTCACCATTTTTCTCTTGGTGTCAGGAAAACTTGTCAGAAGTGACTCGTGCTGATAGCAGAGGAAGGAGGCAGCAGTCAGAAATCACACTTAGTGCTCTGAATTGAGACAAGTACACACTATGGAGGGATATGCTTTGTTCATATTTCATGTCTGAGGATTACAACAGTTTTATCTAGTAAACTAATGCTTGCCTGCTCTGTGCAGTTCTATAGCGCAGGAATATTGCTTTCCTCCTTTCCTCGCAGGCATCGCTGGTGCTGTAGGCTTCTGCTGCAGGCGCCTCCTATAGCAAGCCAGGTGCACTTTTAAAGAAGAACTTCTGTTCCCTTACTGGCTCCACCATCTCTGATGGTCTGGGGCATGTGCAGACCTGGCAGACCCTGCGACACATCTGCACGCACGCTGAAGAATCAGCATATCCTCCAACCAAAGCAGAGGTCCTTCCTTAATCTTCATGCAGCCACATTGGCAAACCCATGCATGCACAGATGCTCACCACGTCTGTGCTGTACAAATGGCAGCCATGCCGACCTATAACTGGCCTTCGCAGCAAGGAGCACATGGGAGGGCGACGCAAGTCAGAAAAACATTTCCAAGCTCTCTTATCAGCCAACCCGCAACAAACTGAACTGGTCCTAACAGTTCACATTAAAACTCAGGGGTTTACTTTGCACACATTTGCAAGAACATGTGTAAGCTGCAGCGGCTGCGTTGCGGCACCCCAGTGTACTACAGCGGCTACACGACACGGCACCCCAGTGTACTGCACAGCGGCTACACGTCATGGCACCCCGGTGTACTGCAGCGGCTACACGATGCGGCACCCCGGTGTACTACAGCGGCTACACGTCGTGGCACCCCGGTGTACTGAAGCGGCTACACGACGCACGGCACCCGAGTGTACTGCAGCGGCTACACGATGCGGCACCCCGGTGTACTACAGCGGCTACACGTCGTGGCACCCCGGTGTACTGAAGCGGCTACACGTCGTGGCACCCCGGTGTACTACAGCGGCTACACGTCGTGGCACCCCCGGTGTACTGAAGCGGCTACACGACGCGGCACCCGAGTGTACTGCAGCAGCTACTCGGCACCCCAGTGTACTGCAGCGGCTACTCGGCACCCCAGTGTACTGCAGCGGCTACACAGCGCAGCACCCTAGTGTACTACAGCGGCTACACGTCATGGCACCCCAGTGTACTGCAGCGGCTACACGACGCGGCACCCCAGTGTACTGCAGCGGCTACACGTCACGGCACTCCGGTGTACTGCAGCGGCTACACGTCACGGCACTTCGGTATACTGCAGCGGCTACGCGATGTGGCACTCCAGTGTACTGCAGCGGCTACACGTCGCGGCACCTCCGGTGTACTGCAGCGGCAACACGTCGCGGCACTCCGGTGTACTGCAGCGGCTACACGTCGCGGCACTCCGGTGTACTGCAGCGGCTACACGTCGCGGCACTCCGGTGTACTGCAGCGGCTACACGTCGCGGCACTCCGGTGTACTGCAGCGGCTACACGTCGCGGCACTCCGGTGTACTGCAGCGGCTACACGTCACGGCACTTCGGTGTACTGCAGCGGCTACACGATGTGGCACTCCGGTGTACTGCAGCGGCTACACGATGTGGCACTCCAGTGTACTGCAGTGGCTACACGTCGCGGAACCCCGGTGTACTGCAGCGGCTACACGTCGCGGCACCCCGGTGTACTGCAGCGACTACACGTCAAGGCACCCTGGTGTACTGCGCAGCAGCTACACGGCACCCTAGTGTACTACAGCGGCTACACGTCACGGCACACCCGGTGTACTGCAGCGGCTACACGTCACGCTACCTCGGCGTACTGCAGTCCTAACTCTATAATTCTGAGAGTCTCAAGTTGGAGCACATACTGTATATAGTAATGGATAGATTAAGGGCAGCAAACAAAAATTTCCATCTCACTTACCAGCCTGCCGCAACAAAGGGCTAGTTATCGGTCGGGGGGGGTTGCCATTTGCTGCTCTCATCCTTTTGTAGGTCTCTCAGATTACTCCGTGGACCCCCAAGGTGACCCCAGCTGATAGAGAGGCAAGTTGGATTTGATGCCCTTTTCTCCTTTCCGTTCTTTGGGTCCAGCGGTTTGCCGACACTCTTATTGCATGGCCCGGGGAGGAAGCGGAAGAAGAATTTTGGGAAATGTAGCCAAAAGTTTACTTTTTAGTTCTACTTTAATCTGCAAATGTATCTATTATTATTATTCAGGATTTATAGCGCCAACAGTTTACGTAGCGCTGTACAACATAAGGGCAGACCCCATACAAATGAATACAGGAGGGATCAGATGGCCCGGCTCCACAGAGCTTACAATCTAAGAGACCTTATGATGAAATTAGGGAAGCATTGAACACCCAGACATGGGGGAGGGGGGGGGCGGAGGGCGGGGGGGGCGGACTGACCATTCAGGCACTCGGGCAGTGTCCAAGGGTTCGGGGTCAATAGGGGGCACAATAAGATGCCCCTGGTACCTGTCATATGCTTTTTTGGGTGTGGTTTGATTATGGGCGAGGACACAGGGAGCCCCATGATCCCCTATTGCCCAGGGGCCCCATGAGTTGTCAGTTCGCCCCTGGCGGGGTGTATTTGGATGAGGTGTTTCTTTGGCCATCTGTGTCTTCGAGCCCGTTCACACTTATGCGACTTGTCATGTGACTTTGGGGTCCAAATTTGCATGACAAGTCACCTTCCCCCCATGATTCCCAATGGGTACCATTCATATCTGCGCAACTTCAAGTAGCAGTGACTTGAAAGTAGTTCCTGCGCTACTTTTGTTACGACTTTCATGCGACTTGAGGGCCATAGACTTCAATGTAAACCCTCCAAAGTCGCACCTGAATGTTGTACATGTGACTTTGTTCAGCAGAAACCATTATCCTTGGTCAAAATCAAGTCGCTCTCCCCCTAAAGTCACGTCAAGTCACACTCTCCCCCCCCCCCCCCCCCCCCCAAAGTCACGTCACACTCCCCCAACCCCCCCCCCCCCTTTCCTAAAGTCACGGCAAGTCACACTGTAAAGTCGCATGAAAATCGCAGGATTTTGAAGTCGCACAAATGTGAACAGACCCTTATTGTGGAGGAAAGTTACATTTCACTTCCCGACTGTCCTCCTGTCCCAGATGCACAACAGAAAGCAAGAACCTTTCCAATATGAGGGAACTTCCTTGACATTGTGCCCCCACTGAAGGAGGAGGTGCCCCTACTGGACATGTTCCCCTCATCCTGTTCTTGTGACAACCAGTGGTGAATTTAGCTTTTGTGCTGCCCTAGGCTGCCTGACATTGGCCAACAACACCCCTGCCCCCCCAACTGAGGGTGCCTTCCACAGACAGACATTCGAACCCCAACCCCCCCGGCAAGAGAGAGACACTCACCTTCACAGCTCCAGACATTCCCGGGGATGAGGGTCGGGCTCTGTATACACCATCAAGCAGCCCACAGCCTCTCTCGGATCCCACTTGGTCCCCATGCCACATAAGTCCCTTCTTCTGTAATTTCTTCTGGGTAGGCAGTGCTGCCCCCCTGAAAAATGCTGCCCTAGGCAACTGCCTTGTTTGCCTTGTGGTAAATACGCCCCTGGTGATAACCTGTACCTTATGACAACCTGTACACCTCATTTAGGATCTGATGTTCTATTTCTTCTTTCATCTGCATCCCTTGGACAAACCCTTTTTTTTTTTTTTTTTTTTTTTTCGTTCCAGGTATTGGTTCCGGTAAGGCTCCCCTGGAGCAGTGCATTGAGTTGGCGAATCGGTCGGGCGTCCGCCAGCACTGGATAAGTTGCCGCCATCTGATCATTGATGAGATCTCCATGGTGGAGGGCGAGCTCTTTGACAAGCTGGAGACTGTTGCCCGGTATGTAGCGCCCCCTATTGGCGGTTTTGTAAGATGCAAGGACCTGTTGATGAATGGTGACAGGTGACCGCGTCTCTTACAGGGCTGTACGCGGTCGGAATGAGCCCTTCGGAGGGATCCAGCTCATCGTCTGCGGAGACTTTCTACAGCTTCCACCCGTCACTCAAGCCTCCAGCCAGACCAAGTTTTGCT